TGTAATTACACTTTACAATGCTAAATCTCAAATAAACACACACCTACTACCACACACATACACACGGTGGTGCATGGTGGCAGCCACCACCTCACGCTGGTGGTGGTGGCGGTTCTTGGTTTTCCAGCCAAATAAACTACACACAACACACACTACATCAGAAACAAACACCCACACATTCTTTGCTTGCAATGGAGTCAGCTACCCTCCTGGTGGCATTTGGCGACGACAGCGGCTGTCTTACAGTGGCAGCCACCACCTCACGGTGGTGGCAGTGGTCTCTTTTGGTTTCCAAACACGCAGCTACACACACCAGCTACCAAAACACACACGCACACTCTTTTGATCGAACACGAGCCCAACCACCCCATCTGGTGGCGTAAAACAATGATGGTGGCGTGAAACGATGGCTACAGTGGCGACCATGGTGATGCGGTGAGACAACACGATGGCTTCTTGGTGATTTTTTATGGCTTCATAGTGGTGGTAGAAGTCGTAGAAGAAGACAGTCGCAATGGAGAATGGAGGTTGCACCTCCACCGAAGTACAAATTCGACAGCAACGACATTAAGTGGTTCGGCGACCCACCCAACCCACGTCACTTGAGTTACTCGTCGCTATCATGGCTACCCCGAATGTTGGCTTCGATCGGCAACACCGGTTGGGAAGGAGGCTGTCGGACATGGCAGCAATGGAAGTGGTGGCCGTTGAAGATGAGAGGGAGGGTATAAGGGTGGCAGCTACAGTATGTTGCTAGGTTTAGGGTTAGGACGAGGGGAGTGATGGGTTATAAGACCCGCACACTCTCAAACGTTGGCCCATATTGTCACTTTCAGTCCCACCTCCTTTATTCTTTTCAATTCAAGTCCCAATATTTACCATTTGGCCCTTGCTCTCATAATTCTTTTCAATATAAATCCAATAGTTACAAAACAATCCCTCCTCCACAAAGGATTCTCAATTAAGATCCAAAAAATTACCATTTCCACCCTGGCTTCAAGAATCCTTCCCAGAATAAGTCCGATACTTACTCTTTAACCCTCTAAAATCTAAAGTATATCATTTGGCACCCCGAAACTAACACCCACTAATTATTATTCGATCTTGGGCTATAATAATATAAATTAATCATAATAATTATTCCTCGGGGTTCCTGATTTATTATTTAATTACTCTATTTAAATGGGATGTTACACAAAAAAGGTTAGAAAACTAAACCCTAATCATCATATCCTTCAAATTGTTACATTGGGTTTTACCCACTTCACAAAAAATGATTTCTAGGCTAAAGGGGAGAAGATTTTACCTTGCAAGCCTTGATTCTTTCTTTCCTTTGTTTGATTGATTAATTCTCAACTTAGATTGAATCCCTAGATGAAAGAAGATGAAGAATCAACATTAGAGCTCTCTTGGATTGAAAAACATGACTAAAAGATATAATGAAGAGGGTTTGCATCTTATTTCACAAAATGTTCTCAATTGGTCCCTCTAATTTGCATCTTTTGACAAAAATCCACCAAACCTCAATATTTATGATTACAACTGAAGTTTTTTTTTTTTTTTTTTTTTTTTTTTTTTTTTTTTTTTTTGACATAATAAGTCCCCCTACATTATATAACTTTGGTAATCCATCCCATTAATTGAGTCAACCCATTAGTCAACTCACTTTGCCAACTTAACAATTTTGGCCATTTAACTTTTAAAAGTTATTATTTTCCACCTTTAACTTTCTAAAAATCATATCATTTAATGATATGATTAACCCCTATAATGATTTAATTATATAACTAATCTTTCATTTATTTACTTTATTAATTCAAGAACCTAGTCTGATATGTTTTTTGTGTTACAGCTAAAACCAAGATGATTAAAGCATCATTTTATCATAATCGTGCTAATGTGAAACAAATTTCAACCCAAAGCAGATTGGCATTACTAGGGTTGAAACTTGTCTTTATTTGCTAGAAGGCATGATTGAAGAAGTTCATGTTCATGCTGTTGTTTCTCTTCAACATTGGCACCAAAGATTTGGTCATCCTGCAAATGAGAAACTCAAGTTCATTGATAGTTGTTTGTTTTCAAATAAAGAATTAAATAATCACGTTTGTAAAGTGTGCCCTTTGGCTAAACAAAAAAGATTGAAATTTGAATCTTTTAATCATGTGGGTGATAAACCTTTTGATCTCATTTATTGTGATATATGGGGTCCTTATCATATATATGATTATAAAGGTTTCAAATACTTTGTCACAATTATGGATGTTGTACAAGATTTATATGGACACACTTTCTCAAGCATAAATCTGAAGTTCAAGCTATTATTCCTAAATTTTTTGCAATGGTATCAACACAATTCAATAGAAAAATCAAGATGTTTTGGTCTGATAATGCTAAAGAATTAGCATTTACAGATTTCTTTAACAAGGAGGGAGTTCTTCATCAATTCTCATGTGTTAAAGGCCTTAACAAAACTTAGTGGTGGATCGAAAAATCAACATCTTCTTAATGTTGCAATAGCCCTTTTCTTTCAATCTAAAATTCCCTTTTTTTACTGGTCTGAATGCATTTCTTGTGCCATTTTTCTCATTAATAAAACTCCATCTAAAATCCTTCAATTCATTACCCCATATGAGAAATTATATAATTGTCCTCCTGATTTCTCAAAGTTTAGATCCTTTGGTTGTTTGGCTTTTGCTTCAACTCTACTTAGTTCCAGAAACAAATTCACACCAAGGGCCAGATGTTGTATTTTCTTTGGTTATCCTATAGGAATGAAGGCTTATAAGTTGATGGATATCGAAATAAAAGAAATATTTGTTTCTAGAGATGTCATATTTTAAGAAGACATTTTTCCTTTTACACATTCCTTAAACCATATACCACAAAACCCTTTTGATTCTACGGTTATTCCTAATTCATATAATGTGGATGATTCTTATTTTTTCCCCCAAACAAATCTAAATAATTCTAGTTCTGTCCCTATTTCTCCATCATCTCCACATCCTCCATCACCTTCACTGCCTTAAACACCTGAGCCACCACAACATCCTGTAAGACCATCCAGACCTCATAAACCACTTTCTTACTTAAAGGATTACCATTTTAAGCTTATCAATAACATCATTATGGAAAATGGACCACAATACCCTTTTTCTGATTTTGTATCTTATTCCAATTTATGTCCACAATACATGGCTTTTACTCTTGCTATTTCTTCTGAAATAGAACCCAAAATTATAAAGAAGTTTCTCAGTCTCATGAATGGATCAAAGCAAGGCATGAAGAGTTGCAATCCTTAGAAGCCAATCAGACATGGATAATTGTCTCTTTACAATATGATAGAAAACCACTTGGTTCCAAATGGGGTTATAAAGTAAAAAGTAAATTATATGACATTATTGAGAGGTATAAGGCTCGGCCAGTGGCTAAAGGATTCAATCAATAAGAAGGTATTGATTTCCTTGACACTTTTCCCCCAGTGGCACAATGCATGACTATCAAGATTTTATTAACTTTAGTTGCTCAAAAATTATGGCCTTTTATTCATTTAGATGTGAATAATGCGTTTTTGAATGGAGATGTAGAAGAAGAAGTTTATATGCACTTGATCCAAGGTTACACTCCTTTAGTCACTCATTCAAACAAGCATCGCATGGTCTCTAAATTACATAAATCACTTTATGGATTAAGACAAGCTTCTCACCAATGGTACTCCAAATTCTCTTCTTTTTTATTTCTCAAGGTTTTACTCAGTCCAAAGCAGATTATTCTCTTTTCTATAAAGGAGCTAGCAAGATTCATGTGGCATTGTTGGTCTATGTTGATGAAATAGTTTTAACTAGGGCATCTATATCTGAGATTAATCTCATTAAGGAGAGATTAAGCAACAAATTCAAATTGAAGGATTTGGGAAAACTTCAACATTTTTTGGGTTTGGAAATTGCAAGGTCTGAACAAGGGATTTTTATTTCTGAAAGACAATATGCTTTGAAGTTGCTTGAAGATACTAGTAATTTGGTAGCAAAACGATTTCAATACCCAATGGATCCTACTTAACAACTACACATCCTAATGTAACCTATGATGTTAATAGGTTACGTCAATTTGTCATAAATCCACGAGTTCCTCATATACAAGCTGCCACCCATCTTCTCAAATATTTGAAGTTAAATCCTAGCTAAGGTTTATTTCTTTCTTCACACATCTCCTTAAAGGTTCATGCATCTTTTGACTTCGATTGGGCAGGATATGTGTAGACACTCGTCGATCCGTGACTAGTTTTCATGTTTTCATAGGTTATTACATGGTTTCTTGGAAGTCAAGGAAATAGACAATTATGTTAAGGTCTTCAACTATATCGTACCCTTGCTATTGCTACAACAAAAATTGTTTAGCCACATCATTTACTTACTAATTTTGGGGTTTATCAAAATGAACCAACTGCCATTTTTGTGACAATGAATCCGTTATTCAGTAAGCTCTTAATACCACATTCCATGAACATACTAAACACATAAATATTGATTGCCAGTTCATTCGTGACAAAATTCTTGATAAAACTAAGAAGCTTTTACCTATACGAACTACACACCAACTTGCAGACATGTTCACCAAGCCCTTGCCACATCATAAACTTTTAACGATCATGTCCAAGATGGCTTTGCACAACATTTTCCAACGCTCATCTTGAGGGAGGGTATTGCGAGTCATGTTGACAATTGTTTTTTGTGATCGGTTGCTATTCATTCCGATCGTTGAGGCAGGACTCTCTGCAAGTGGAAGGTTGCATAGGGACTCTCAGGAAGCTCTTTCCTTTATACCAGAAGGAAGATGGTCGAGGAGATCCGTAGCTAGAAAGCTCCTTTGGGAGAGAAAGGTAGGCACAAGTCTATTAAAAGTACATCACTATTAAGTCGACTACAATAGTATCATGAGCATGTAACTACATTTAGAAACTAAGGAGAAGAATACTCTGTAGTAGCAGCAGCAGTGACCGAGCATCAATCATCAAGTGAATCAGTATATGCCTGCGCACGTGAGCAACAATCACTCCCTTGCAGCAAGACGAAAGTAGCATATGCCACATGGTAGATCATATCCAAGCAGAGGTGCACAAGAACGCGCACAACTTCACTCAGAACTTGTGACAAAGACTTGTTGTGCATCAGAACACGACTGAAAGTCGTTGCTGCTTCTTCATTCCAGGTGAAGCTATCTTTATTCAATTCAGTAAATTGGTCAGTGGCTTGCTGATAACCCCATACCCTTTTCAAAATTTTCGGTAATCGCTCTGATATATAGGATATAATGTCAGAAAAAAGTCATTCCGATCGTTGAGATCGGTTGCGATTCATTCTGATCATTGAGATAGGTTGCAATCCGTTGCGATTGGTTGCGATCGATCGCAAGCCATGAGACTTATTACATCAATACTTTAAGTTGGGTTTGTTATAAGCACTTATATTGCGTTGTTAGAAGGTGGTCTAACTAGTATTAGTTAGCTGTTAGATAAGCGGTTAATTAGTCCGAGTTTATATATAAGCTTTGTACTAGTATTCATTTTCAAGATTGAATATAATGATAAATCTTGTTCTTTTCACTATAACACACTTTTGTCATCCGAAAACTTCAGGATTAGGCTACCATTATACAAGTGTGTAGTACTCCTATTTTTGAACACACTGTCGACATAGCAAAAACGTTATTGATAAATGGTAGAAGGATTAGTGGACCGGAAAAGCCTCAAATTCAAACGGGCATACATTTCGATTCATCAGGAATTTTTAGGCCTGCCTCATGTGGATGGAAAGGTCCCAACGTGCATGAGTTCCCAACAACCCGCCGTCATCACCAAATTTTGATGGTTATTAATTTTCAGTTCCGCAGTTCTGGCTCATTTTAATCGTAGATTTCTTATAGTTTAATTATAGAATGTGTGATTTTCTTGATTTTTGTTTTTTGTAGGATTGTTTTCGAGGTGATTTAGAAAATTAATTGTCAATATTAATATTTTTAAATTTGACAATACTTGCCGTATTTAGCCGCACTGTATATAAATGAGTAACACATAAACTTTATTATTCATCCATCTTCAAATTAATAAAAAGTCTACCTTTAATTAGGATTTATTGAATACCTTTGTTACTTCGATTCAGTATCAACCCCAACACCACGTAATTATCAACTCCCACTAATTAATAAGATATTTGTCAAAGTATGCTCTATCACCCATATAAATTTCAATTACTCTAAAAAAATAAGTAATACAAAAATCAACAACATCTAAAATATTTGAATAAAAGATTATCTTAAAGTATTCCTTAATGTTACCTGCACACATATCGAAAAAAAGTATAAGAAATATATGACAGAAAACTGGGAAAAGGAAAATTAATCAGCAGCTTCGCATGATCCAACTTGTTTGTTCTCCAAATTATATTTTGAAAGCAACGTACATGCGTTAATGTGTATCGACTGAATTCAAAATCCCAATATTTTCGGCTTCAACGTTCAAATCCAACATGGCAGATGCGCTGTCGTTTTGGGTTTGCCTCATAGGAGGGCATGGTCTTGAAACAGACGTGAAGCTTTCACAAGTAAGAACAACAATGGCATCCTTGAGATGAACTGATGTGCCACAAGTTAATGAGATTGTCCCACTCTCGATTGCTTTCTTAATATCCATTTGTGACTGATTACTAACTTGGTCCACGTCTTCCATGAAGAAAACACGACTATCGTTTTCTTGCACAGCATCTGCAAACCTTTCTATATAACTCTGTCCATGTTCGCTTCTTGGCCTTTTGTTACTAATTAATTCTTGATCATCATCTTTTGAGTTGGATTTGGCTGATGAGAAGCTTGTTGAAGTCGTGGAGGAAAGAGAAGAATGGTGGAATGTTTTGTTAAGAAAATGAGGCTGTTTGTGAAGTGAACTGCAACTTGTGTTCCATTTCTTGCAAAAGCTTCCAACTTTGACATGTTTCTGTAACCAGAGACATTAACTATTTTAGAGTGTTGGAAGATTTAGACGTCAAATTAGCAGGGAAAAAGGTGACGGAAACTTATCTAATGTAATAAACAAAAACCAACCTGATCATTGACGACTTGCCTCGAGTTCTTTCCCTTGTGTTGTTGGAGCCATAATGATAAACCGGTGGTTGTAGTAGTAGTAACAGACTCATTGTTATGAGCACAGCTTGCTATGCTTCGAGCTTCTTTTGTGAAGTTGATCGAACACTCTTTGCTCTCATTTGGTGAATCTCTGCTAAAATAGCAATACCAACTTCATTAATTAGCTTCTGTAATGTGAGAAACTAATTATATATCCCACTTACGTTATAAAAAAGTGAAAACAAAAGGATGGAAACGCTGTAATCAAATTAAGGACTAGCTTTTTCTGAGTTTGAGTACCTATTAAGATAGAGGTTAAGGTCCAAGACACCAACAGGAGTTGTATGCGCAACAAGATCCCATAGAGTCTCAAGGGAGGGATGACCAGTTTTGCAGCTCATGTAAGTTTCGGAATTGGCTATTCCCATAAGCCACAACTTCCCACTATCCCGAAAACCACACATCAGCCTTCTAAGTTCCATGATCATTTGCTCCATTGGGGAGTAGTAGTAGGTTTTTTGCCTTTCCTCACAGTATTTAGACCAATAATCAGAAACCCACTTGATATCACCCACATATAGGACCACTCCTCTCTCCACATTGCTTCTTATTAGATAATTAAGCTCCGTAACCTTATCCTCAACTTCTTTCATAGAAAGATGACTTAATGAATCCAAAGGAAGACTTACAAATTGTACGAACCTCAAATTACCAGGAAAAGCTATGTTCTTTCCTCTCTCAATCTTGTCTATAACTCCTGTAACTATGTCGTAAGCACTAACCAAACACTCCCTTATGACAATAACGTTTTTCCTTTTCGTATGCATCATCGTATCTATAACACTCATCACATCCTCAATTGGGACACTGGGTGTGAGTTTTGATCCATTACTACTACTAGCTTGGAAGTTTTGTGTTATGGGTTTACTATTTTGGTTGGATTGGATAGAATAGACAATAGGCCTTTGGGAAAATAGCTCCATGGAGAAACCATGTTCAATAGTGTTTTTGATTTGGGTACTAGAAAATCCAGCTTCTCTCATGACTCTACTTACACTAGGGTCATCTAATATTGATATGGTGAGCTGCTCCACCTCTACTTTAAGAGCTAAAACGGGTTGTTGCTGGTTCTCAAGTGAACCACGTCGTTGTAGAGCTAGAGCACGCTTGAAGGCTGCCACCAAAGCATTGGAGAGGGAGGGGTGGGGAGATTGATTTGTACTGAATATGATAGGACTGGATTGAGAAGTAGCGAGGCGATTGAGGGCTAAGTTGAAGCAAAGCTCGAGAGCGTTGCATTGAAGGGGGTGAGAGTTAACTTTGAAGCAAGCTTTCCTAAGAAGACCTCTTGGAGATGTGAGCATGGCGCTTGCTACATGGAGAGGTGTGACATGAGCATGGCCTCTCCGTCTACAGAGGCCAAGGGCTTGTTTTACAATCGTAGCGGCTTTTGTTGTTAGGGTATGTTGGACTGCGTATCTTTCGGCCCTCATGCTTACTTAGTATTTAAATTTCTATAAACCCAGATAGAGATCCAGAAAATACTTGTATCAATGTATGGTTGTATTTTTCAGGTAGGCTATGGTTCTGGAAGCGAGTATACTGCAAGTGCAGCGGTCTGATGTGGTAGAATGTAGAACTAAATAAGTAGTGGGCTGATAGGAGGGAGAGGAGAACAACGCTTTTCATTTTGTTTTTAATGTATGTCAAAGTCGATTCCATGTGAATCTCTCTCTCTCTCTCTCTCTCTCTCTCTCTCTCTCTCTATATATATATATATATATATATATATATATATATATATATATATATATATATATATATATATATATATATATATATATATATATATTAGCATAAGGTATTTTGTAAAATGACATACTAAAAAACAAATTTTTGGTAAGATATGTGGATTTCTTTTAAAAATCTAACTTTTTTAAAATTAATTCAAATTTAATTATAAACAAAACTTTAAAAATGGTCTCTATGGTTTTCGAAAATATCAAGTTTAATCCCTAAGTTCAAAAAACTCACAGATGGTCCCTGTGGTTTCAAAACTTTTAACAAATGGTCCTTTTCGCTAACACCGTTAGCTTTTGGCCGTTAAGTGAAGAACATTTCTGTCTTTTCACTACCACAGGGATCATTTATGAAGTTTTGTCTGATTTTTTTTTTTAAAAAGAAAATTAATAATTATTTTATATTCTCTCTCTCTCTCTCTCTCTCTCTTGTATGATTGCCATAGCAGAACCCACCTCCTATCATCTAGATACACCATAAACAATCACCACCACAGTCAGAGAAACTACGCCTTTCCCTTCATCTTTCCAGTCACGAAGCCCCACCAGAAAACTCAATTGTTTCCTCCATTATCTGCCACTGAACCACCGTACTCCACCATTGAGTTCCATCTCAATCATTTCCATTTTTATAACGAGTGGAGAGTCATGGAGAACTCCCATTTTTGTTTTTAGGGCTTCTTCTCTCAATTGTTCCCTAATTTTTTCGCCTTATTTCTCCTAAATTTATCAATTCCTTTGATGGATTTCGTATGAACTCCAATGGGTTGCATCGGTTCCAAACATGTGGTTAGGTCTTTCAATTATTCCTTACACGATTCACATTCTTTCACGCATTTTTTGGGTCTTAATCACTGAAGAGTCGTGATCATTAAAATAATCACGTTACGATGATAAGATCAGTAAGAAGAAGGAGACTCACGCTGTTAGTAGAAACGACGGAAAAGTTCTGAAGAGCTGAAGCACTTTTTAGGCTTTCGGGTATGACCTAACTCGAAAACGGATTATTCTCGATTTCAACAGATTGCAGTGAAGAAATCATCAGGAATTGAAGTAAACAAGTTGTTGCTAAGCATTAACACTGGTAATGAGCTTAACCTGTTTAAGTTAGGTAAAGGACCCGAGATATTGTTCCATTGGAGCTCCAAATGCTCAAGTTGAGTGAGATTCGAGAGGCTTGCAGGAAGTGTTCCTTGAAGATTTTGATGCCCGATTTGAATACGGGTTACTCGCTTCTCATCTAAGCAAATGACACTGATCCATTGGCATGGATTTAGATCAGACCAATCGAGATCTAGTGGCGGGTTGAGGGCCTTCTTGGCAAAAGGTTCGGCATCACTGAGAGTGCATCTGATTGATTCCCTCCATAGCCTCGATCAAGACACTGTTCTTAAAGATTGTGATGTGTGTTAGATATATATATATATAATATATATATATATATATATATATATATATATATATATATATATATATATATATAGAGAGAGAGAGAGAGAGGTGGGACCCCTTGCATATTAAATTTTATTTATTTATTATTTTTTAAAAAAAAAGTAATATAAAACCTCATAAATGGTCCCTGGGTAGTGAAATGACCAAAATACCCCTTACTTAACGGCTAAATGGTAACGGAGTGAGCCGGAAGGACCAAATGTTAAAAGTTCTGAAACCATAGGGACCATCTGTGATGTTTTCTGAACTTAGGAACTAAACTTGATATTTTTGAAAACCATAGGGACCTATTTTGAATTTTTGTCTTAATCATAATATAATTTTTAATAATAATCGATTTTATTCTGTCATAATGACAAAGTCAACCTTAAACTAGTAAATATATTTACGATTTTATTCTTGCGGAATATGCTTATATTCAAGATATTTTTTTATAATTAATATGCTTAAAAAATTATACAACATATTATCAAGAATTACATTTTCTAAAGGATACAAATTTTATTCTTGAAGAATACTCATATATTATTAACTTTGTTCAAGAATCAGGGTCCAAAAATAAATAAAAACACACATTACAATAACATTCTATAAAAATACATTGTTTTAGAGTTAGAAATTCTTATAATCTTCATTCGATAACTATTGTTCATCTCCGTCTCACACTCTATCTCCCGATGATCATTATTCATCTCCATCACACACCATCATCCAACCTTCAAGCCTTTGATCATCATGTTCCCTTCACGCATTCTATGAGAAATTTGTCATGAAATCAAACATTCTATGAGAATAACTGTCATAAAATCGAATTATGGAAGAATAACATTCTTTGAGAATACTTTTATATGACAAATAATAAAACAAGCTTTGATAATTTTGACAGAATAAATATGGTCTATTCTAAAAGAATATATGGATTATTTAAAAAAAAATGCACATCTTGTTTCTTTAAATTTTGTTACAAAACTTATTT